ATTCTAGAAAAAAAGGCATAATTTATATTTATTTCCTTTTTTTTTTATGGTGGTTACGAGATCGGTCAAATCGACCAATCCATATAGAGATTCATTAGTGAAAGTAACAGATAAAATATAAAGTTTTTTCGTAAAAAACATTTATTAACTATCTGGATGTTATAAAGGTTTTACATGTGAAACTTGAAAATTTTCTGATGCATAAAAGTATTTTTAATCTTAAAATGAAAATTACTTTGCTTGTTGGATAGGCAACATGCGAAAAGAAAAAAGGCGTGAGAAATACATTGCTTAACAAACCTTAGGACTTAATAAAGAAAAATTGAAATTTTGCATATGAAAGCATTGTAATATTTACTGATAATCTGTCAAATTTCCTTAACGTATGCTTACTAATTTCAAAGTTATAGCATGAAAGCTATAACAAGCATAAAATGGTTACGAGATCAGTTCCAGGGACTGAGCCCATCCTGAAAGAGTTAAAATGTAACTGAACTTTGATGAACAGTCAATGTGCACAAATAACGCAAAATTTTTTATATCTTTTAGGGTGTTGTAATTTTCAGTTTCATCAAATGCAAGTCAATTGTATATATATATAAATTCAAATAGTCTGAGAGTATAATGCAGGAACAGTTTGTAGATCTTGGTGTCACTATATTAAGTCCTGTGGAGTTTTTATGACATTTTGACTTTACAGAGGTTTCCAATCTGAGAAAATTATTTTTTGGAAGTTTATAAAAATAATAAAGTATTACTAAACAATACATCATTTTTTGTAAGATCTGCTTGGTGGATAAAGCTGGCAATGAGATTAGTGATTTTGACAGCTCATCATTCTCTGTATAATTTTCTTGATTTTACAAAGCTAGCTAACAAATCAGTGATTTTGAGTTACAAAATGTGGAAGAGAAAAATTTTTGTGTATTTCAGTTTTACAGACATTTTCTTAAACAGTTATGAAATTGTAAACTTGTGTTGTTTTAGTAAAGCATTGTATTTAGTATAGACACTTGTGCTTTATAATTATTTTGCTTTACATTTACTGTAGAGTAGCATTGTGAAATGAACAAAAATTGTATGTAGTTTGGAACTCTTAAGGGTATTACCACTTTTTCTGTGAAAAATTACTGTACTGATATTTTTTTTATGTGAAACGTTTTTATGATAAAGTCCTATATTTTAGTATTACTTTATTATAGATATATTCATTCAAAAGAAGAAGAACAACAGTTTCTTAGACATTTCATCAAGCACTGGTTACAATTTCAGGTATAGTGTAAATTTAGGTGTAGTTTATATACATACATTACTGAGTTTATTAAACATGTAGAATATTAATTGGAAAGAAGTTTGCAATTTTAAAAGACTAAATTTGAAATAGAAAATTTGAAGACAGTTAAACAATACTTAATACAAATAAATAAAACCTTTTGAGGTTCTGCGAAAGGCATGTAAAACAAAAACTAATTAGAGAATAAGAAATTTCAACTTTTACTTCAATTTTTTTTTAAGTTTTATATATTTTATATATTTTTACACGTATGTAAATATTTTTAGATTTTATTCTGTTTAATTCTTAGATGTAATAATCTTATATATTTTGTTATACTGCATCTACAAATTGAGGGTCATTTTTGTGTGTTTTAATTCATTAAATTCAATTTTGAGAGAATCACTCACCCACATAATCCACATAAGATTAAAAAAGCTCAATCAGATTATTATTGTTAGTTATAGTTATTAGATAATGATTGGTAAATTATTACAAAAAAAATACTTGCCTCTTTTGACAGGTTGTGGACAATATGCAGATTCTAAAAACTTTTAACCATTGTTTAATCATATCTCAGAATGTTAATTCATGTATTCGCGTCTTTGGTTTTTAAGCACAACTAGCTTGGTTCGCAAAACAAATATAATACTTAAACTAAATGAATGTTGTGGAAAATATATTAGTATTATGTGCAGAGTTTAGTCTTAATAATGTTCTGAAACTGATATCTTCAAAACTATTATGATAAAGAATTATGTATTAATATAATACCAAAAGGAAGAATTATATATTAATGTAAAATGTTTATTTATATTTTTGGTTTATTTTTATCAGTATTTCATGAACACTTTTGTGTTTACTTTTACGCACTACAGTAAAACTATAATCAAGTGTATTTTTCTTAGTCTTATAAAAAACTGAATCTTATATTCTAAAAAATAGAAGGAATAAGTTGTTTTAATACATTATAAAATAAAATGAAATTTGAAATAAATTACTTTAATATGTTTTCAGAGTCATGCAGGGGTGGTACATGAGGTTTTTATCCGCAACAAAATTGCACAACTTGTATGCTTGGTGTTCTTAGCAGACTACCCACATCGTTGGCCCAAATTTTTTGATAATGTCCTTGAGCTGTTGACTTTAGGTCCTCCAGGTGTTGATTACTACCTCCGCATATTGTTGGCAATTAATAGTGATGTAGCAGATCGAGAAATTGCCCGGACACAAAAGGTTTTATTTTCCCCTTTTTCACAAATTAATTTTAATTATTTTAAATAAGTCATACAATAGAAAGACTTTAATTGCTAATGAATTACGATTCAACTTTGGTTTCTTTGATCTGTACATTTTGTTTCTTGTTGGAACTATGTATTAGTTCAAACCTCTTTTCAGCTGAAGTCAAAATGTTTGAAGAATTACCAGCATTAGACTTCAAATGCCTTTTTGTTACATTATTTTAAACAATGCACTGTTGATCCCACATAATTCTATGTTGAGAACAAACATAACGATAAACAATGTAAGTGTTGAAGTTTATCAAAATTCTCTGTTCTCAATACAGATGTTAAAGCTACACAAACACTGAAATTTGCATATAGTTTTATTTCAAAAGATTTTGAATTTCTCAAAAGGTAACTGTCTTTTCGAATAAAATTACAGGCTTGTAACATCATAGCTCATGAGGGGTATACAATACGCACAATTTTAAAAACATTTTTAAGCATTATTGAGTAATGATAGATGAAAACCATTTCTTAACAAATGGTTTTTTACATTTTATATTTCTTTACAAAAATAAGGATAGTCATTGCAATATGACGAGTTTTATAAAATAATATATTTATTAAAATGACCATATATTTAACAGGTAGTAAAACTATCAGTGTGTGGATACAATCCTGCACATGCTGGTTTATGATACATTCGTACTTCCATAGGACCACCAAAGTTATTAATATGAAGATCCAAAAGAGACAAATTTCAATTATATTCTTCCTCAAATGTAAACATAATACAAAGATGTTGATTGTTTAATTAAATGTACAAACTTACAAGTTATTTTTTCATAAAAATTACAAAGGTTTAATTTGTATACCTGTATCATCTAATAGATAAAAAATTGTCTGCACACTTATTCATCCATTTGAGCACATAGTGATACCATCTATTTTATCATAAATACTGTTGTTATGTTTGAAATGAGGTTTCCTGGAAGTGTGGTATGCAGGCATTTAACCTTTTCTCTCCACTGGCATCTTTTGTTGTGCATGTCACGAGGTTTTAGTAAATTACAGTCAAAATTTAATTAAACTACTTTCTTTTCATGGTATACCAATAAATATGGCATAAAAAACACAGCTAATAATCCATATTTCAATAGTATATAGATTTTCAGTTCTTACTTTTATAAGGCAATATTAAAAAAAAAATTAGAATTTCCTCTAGTGTGAGAATTGTGACATTTGCTCTCTAGGCATCCCCTCTTCTCTAATTTATTTACCACCCCTCTGAGAAATACAAAATTTAATGTAAATTATTTATTATAATATTGTCATCACACAGACAAAGCATAATTTTCATAGCCTTCAATCTTATTTGGTTACAGAACCATAAAAAAAGACTAGACCCCATCTTGCCACACCCACCTTTTTCAGAAATTGATGATAGTTCTCTCTGATGTTCAGTACTACATTATTTATAACTAATAGAAAACCAAGGATTTAATCTATCAAATAAATTTCGCTTTCAGGTCAAGCTTGATTCCCAGTGTAAACACACTGATGAGCTTAGATGAAATTTTAACGTCTCTTGTTGCATAGTTAGAAAGCCAGAGAAATTGCCGTAGTTATGGGACATTGTCTGCTTTTTGCATGTTATTATTCTGTGTTCTTTGGTGCATTATTTTATTAAATAAAAAATTATTTAGTACAGTACCACCATTCATACTGTGATGAAATCAGTATAACCTGAAAATGATGTAGTAGCAAAATTTAATAATTCAATAACTCTTTTATAGTTGTATCATTTTGAAAAACCAAAGAAACCTTAGTCATAAATATACTGAAGCAAAGCCATGTAATATGTTTAGAAAAGGAATAAATTATCAATCCTTTTTTATTTCATGTAATGCCTTATGCCAACAGAGTGTAATCTGTTTATCAGTAGTTTGTATGACAGTACATCAAACTAAAACTGATAATAACTTTAACAAACCTTTCTTGTAATGTAATGTCACACAAACTACCATTTCGTACTGACATATATATCTAAATGAGTAAAATGAATAATCTTTGGACTGAGATTTTGTGTATTGCATGCTCATCTAACTGATAAACTCTGTTATTGAGCAAAAGACCTCATTGGCAATGATTTTGTAGAAATGATTGTCAATCTCATTGTGAAATAACATCACACGTTTTGATCAAAGAATAAATTGTTAGCTTTTTATATTTATGTGTGTTAACGACTTGTGCAAAGTGGTTTTGTCTGAGATGAAATAACCGTAAATATCAATCAAAAGTCCCAGGTCTCATGTAATTAGCAAAAAACTCCCTAAAATTAGAAAGATTTTTACAAACAATTTATTGTGGTCAAATAGAGGTTATGTTTCTGCTACAAGTGCCTTTAACTCTTGCAGCATGGGCTCTATCCCTGGGACCGAACTCGTAACCATTTGTGCTTGTTATAGTTTCATCTATAACTTTTAAATTAGTAAGTGAATGTTAACGAAATTTGGCAGATTATCAGTAAACATTACAATGCTTTCATATGTAAAATATCACAATTTTTAATCAAGTCTTTAGGTTTGTAAAGCAATGTTTTTCTTGTTTCTTTTTGCATGTTACCTATCTATCATGCAAAG